ATACAAAATAGTCTATAAGAGTGGAGTATTCTTATTACTACCTGAAACCCACTATGGTGCTCTTGGAATGGATATGATAGAGAAGGTGGTTCTAACCAGTAGCATGTAGTAAAGCATATAGGCCATGCATTGTCTCTCTGAGTGTCTGAAACACTGTCATGTGGGAAATCCCTTAAGCATGGGCTTAATCCCCTTTAGGTCATCAAGCTGAGAAAACTATAGTGCAGACAGAATATGAAGGACTTTTTTTTTAATACTGTAAGTATGTGCTACAGCATTTGGTGAGCTGGGGCATAAATACTTTTTCTGTTTCAGAAGCAAGGCCGGTAAAACTACTGGCTGGCTGTACATCCTTGATACAATAAATACATTGCATTTTCAAACTGAAAAATGTACAAGACAGTGCAAACATGTATTTATAATATATCCATTGCCCCAGAACCTGACCTCTCTTTCCAAGACTTAATCTGGTCAACAGTTCAGTGACTTATGTTCAAGGAAATATTTTAATCAATAACTTAGAATATACAATGCAGTTTGAACACAAAGATCAGCAACTATAATGCTGGTATAAACCTCCGTATTAACCTTTTTACTTGGTGAATTGCACCTTACAAAATACAAACAGCCATAAAGACGACAGATTTTGAACCATATTCAGAGAAGATGGAGCATAGCACAGGCAATTATTCTAAAACAAAAGGATACTAACAGCCTAGAAAGTACTGAATCTGTGTGGGATTGAAGATTCCACCCAGTATTATTAAATTCAGCACTTTAAGAGCAAGAACTGTACTAAGGAAATAACCACCAACATTTCCTCACTGTTCTAATGCAGTATCTTTTCCACAGACTTCAAAACTAGCCTTCTCTCAAGAGAACCAACACCATCAAGAATCCAGCACCCTTGAATGACTGGTGTTTGACTTTTGTATACATTTATGTGTGGGTATTGGATAGTCAGTGATATATATCACAAAGTAAGCATTCATAGTTTTATCTGTGCAGCAGAGATTTAAGCAGAACATGCTCCTCTGTCACGTGGGTATTCTGCCTTTTCTCGGCCTTGAAGACAGATACAACTTCTGCTTTATTTTGCTTAAGGAGCAAAATGATTCTTTGGATAACAACCAGTGCAACACAAGTCACAAATAGGTACATACAGAAAAAAGGAATTCCTTCCAGATCTCATTGTTGGTGAAGACAAAAATATATAATGCATTTGTTTGTGGCCAGATAAATACTATACATAATGGTGTGACTCCTTTGTGCCTTTCTTGGGGTTAAAACTGTAACAGGAAGGGAAGACATTAAAGTGAGATTTCAACCCCCTAGAAACTCCAGTATATAATCACAAAACTGACTTGAACAGAAGGTTCTTCCACTACAACAAAGTGTATTAATTTGTGAGAAAACAGAAGCCTCTACTGCTTTATTATTTTTTAAGTCAAAAAAGTGACAAAATGACACTTACTTGTAGCTCAAGAAATGACAGATAATAATCTCCAGGCAAAATGAATCATGTTGTCAGCCATGAACTGTCATGGGTACAGCATTTACACACTCCAGGACACAGGGTTGCTTCAGCCTGAACCTTGAACTGGGCCACGTCCAGTTTAGATTGATTCTTCTGTTAGATTTATCTGGTGCTGAAACACTGCAGCCCAGAACTCTGGCAGTATCTGTTTTATGCTGTGGTTAGGCAGGTTACATGGTTTGGCACAATCTTCACCATGCCTTCTGTAGACATCTCTATAGCTCACATGCAGCTGGCTGATAACAGTAATACACCAAGTTCAGCACTGTTGAGTTTGTCGACTCCAACTAGGAAGTATCCAGCTGAGGGGCCTAATGTGATACCAGGCAGCTGACATAGGGGATGCTCTGCCAGAATTATTGAAACTACTAGGTACTGAAGAAATGAATGCTGCCTGTGTTGTGCCTCAGTACCAGGTCCTCCTTCTGTCCAGCGCCGACCAAAGCAGTGCGAGTTTGGCAGTACATCCCCCTGACCACTGTAGTGGGAGTAGGGTTATCGCCTCTTGGGCTGAAGTACACCTGTTTGGCTCTACCCAGTGCTGCATCCACTTAGGAACATTTGCTCAAGGTTCTCTGCATCACTGCACTGAACAATGCACTGTGCCCAAAGACGGAGTTCACATATTAAAAGAAGAGTAGCTCATGAGCCAGATCCAGCCTGTGCGTCTGTCTACCTCTGAACTAATTATCAGACCTCATAGCAGGCACGATGGTCAAGCAAAACTGCGATTTTTAACAGTTAATGTGTTGTCCCATTAACATGAACAACCACAAGATGTTTAATGTATACTACTGTGAATATGGAAAAGCAGGTTTCAGGAATTGTGACACTTATGGACAAATAACTCTCTCTTTGTTAATAATGATGCAGGTAAATAAAACCAAAACTTTTCAGTATAAGGCACCCAAAAAAAAAAGTTCCAAAACCAGAGATTAAAAAAAAAAAAAGTAGGGAGAATAAGTGTAGTGATGGCATATGCCATACTGCAGGGGTGAATATCTTATCAGTTTGGAATGATTAAAAGCAAAAATGTGCTCAAGAGCTAAATATATTTACATTGAGGAAGTTTCTAAACTATACATGCATCCCTTCATTAGGAATTAATTAAGATGCAGAAAATCAAAGGGAAAGGGACAGATGAAACAAGAGTCTAGCCTTCAAAAAATTTTATATGTCAGGCTTCTGACATATTAAAGTTCAGACTAATGATTAAACGTTCAAATTATTTTCTGAATAGTTGGAAATACAACACTAGACTATTTGTACACAAAAAACTTTGAGGCATTTTGCTTTTAATTTGCATACAATTCCTTAGAGTGAATTTCACATGAAGAAGGGCGAGATACAACAGAGCTTGTTTACCATTTCACAAGGTTAACAGAACAAAGTAAACATCTGTCCTTATTAACAAGCTTCCATCTCTTACTCCAACTTGTCACCTCCTGATGCAAGTCTCCATGCCAAATAAATGCATGCACTAGTTCCAAACTCCACAGATGTTCACGTGTGGACTGCAGTGGTACTGCAATTGTAGCAGCAAGAAAAAAATGAAATAGAAACACTTTAGATATAAGCTTATATTCTCTTAATGTTTCCCAAATGAAGACCCAAAATTCAGAGTTAAACAATACTTCAGTTGTTCAGCTCAGCTACTCATCTGACCATGGTTCCTCTATGGAGCACAAAGCTAAGGAGAAAAAAAGAACTCCTTTCTGTCAAATACGAGGGGGCATTAAATCAGAAACAGAGAGGTCTCAAAATAACTGTGCTAAAATGGACTTCCCAAACAAATTTATCTGGAACACAATTTGAGCATGCTCGTCTACATACTGATGGAGTTTTCTACTTATACAATTTCCATACATAGCTGCATTTGACAAGGCTTTTGGCTTCTTTCAAACTAGCAAATACCATCCTGATCAGAATATATTACAACAGTATTATACCTAAATAAAATACTGGCATGGTGCTAAGGACAGCACCATCTTTCTTCGTGCTTTTAATGAGACCGGATAATAGATTAACACTGGTTGAAAGGCAAGCAGTAACAAATCAGTCTTGCAGATCTTTCCAAAAAAGAGATGGGAATGTGAGGTTACCCAGGTAAAAAAAGAACAAAAGATCTGTAAGCTGGACCTACCAACAGCAGCAGAAATCCCTAACACCAGAGCTGTATTTAGGTCTTACAGCAATTAACACCAATTTAGCCTTTTGCCTAATAATTTACAGGAAGCCTTTGTTTTTTTTGTGTAGGAATCCTTAACACTGAGATTCTGTGACACTACTCACAGTGAGTTGAGTGAAGAAAATCAAATCAATTGTGCTGAAATGGAAAATTACAGAACACGGAATTGCATGTCTCTGATAATAAGGGTTTGCATATGCACACGAGCCTACACATCACAGCACATCTGTTGGTGCCAGTGATTCCACTTGGGATTTGCCAATTTTTTCCTCTCATGATTGTGGATTCTCCAGCAACTCTGCTGAGTCCAAAATATGTCAGTACCAGAGAAGAGACTCTAACAATAAAAATCTTTGTACACTTTAATATTTATTAATTTTCTAGTATTTTTTTGCTATATATTTAACACTAGTGTGACAAAATTCCTGATAATTATAACTCATGCAAGTAACTTAACTGAGGAATTAGCACTATCTAAATTGGTAAACATACCACTAGGGGGGTTACTTTGGAGTCTACAAGACAAGTATTTCTGCAACAATGACAGCTAGGTGGGTATGCATAGAACATAACATTGGCAGGTATCTCAGTGACAGCACAGCCTTCAGAAGGACTGGAGTGGCAACATCCTTTGACCTAAACAGACTTAATATTACTGTTTAAGAGGGCTTGAGTGCAGTTGGAGGCATGTTGGACATGGTTAGGAAAGATGGTGTTTCTGTAGTTAGTCAAATAGCTTTTGCTCGTTAAAGTTGCTGTGATTTGTGTTCTTTCTTTGAAAGGGTAAAACGTATTACTCACTCTACCCATATTGCTATTGCTTAGGTCACAACGGAGACATTGGAGCATACCATACCTTTCTGCAGCTGAAGACAAAGATTGCAGTTATTTCTTCTCTGCAATTCCTTGGTGAGTACATTTCTGTCAATACCAACTATGAAAACAAACTCCCTAGAGTCCAAATCTTTAAAAATATATTACAGGAAAAGTCTACTTGTGAATCACTTATTCTCTTCTCCTACAATACCCACAGGTTTTAAAACAAAATAATTATAAATGTAATTATTAAAAGAATAACAAGAGTTGTGATAGTCTTTTGATGTACTGGGCATTTCCCTTTTTTAACTAACATACATTCTAACAGAAATCCCACAGTACGAACCAGATAATTTCAATTAAAAAATAAAATGCAAACTATTCAGTCCAATGTTAGAACATGTGTATGTGTGTATAATACTGTAAAAGTAGTCACACATCAGAGGTATATAATTGAAACAGCATTTTCCTTCATGAACCTGCTATTATTGAGGCAGTGACAAGGTTTCCATTTCTTTGTTTTCTGAGCTCTTTAAAGAATGGCTATTGCCACATTCTGTAAACCTAAATACGGTACAAGCAGAAGCTTGTTGGTATCAGGTAAGGAGTAATACTACTAGTGCAAACAGGTGCAGAGACAATTCCTCCAGTTTTGTGGTGAACCAGCTATATAACACTGAAAGAGGACAGGCATCTTCTTCAAACCCACACTCATGCATGTTTCTCCACTCAGACATACATCCTTCTCCATCTTGGTCTTCTTTACACAAGGGTAAGCGGGGGAGAACCACCAGCTCATGTGATATTTATCATATGAAAGATTTCTTGACTGCCTATTAATAATGATGAATGTTTTATAACAAGTCAAGGAACGATAAATACCTCAAGCATCAGGAAAGCAACAATAATACTGACTTAGTATCTATAGTAAAAAGTGAAACATTCTCTCCTGAGATATAAGTCAAGGAAGGAACAGGAATTATGAACCTAACACTGTACCATTATTTGATCATCATGCACCTCAGCTGACCAGATGAGAAAGAACAAGTGTTTATTGCCCTCTGCTCACCCAAAGCTATGACAGGCAGTTTATCTAGGTAAGTGCTTGGCATACCAGAATGTTGTCAGAGCAGTTCTCACTGTATTGTCCTCCTTTAGCTTATTTCTTTAAAAGACAATTTAAAAAAAAATAGACAAAAAAAAAAAAGAAAAAGAAAAAAGAAAATCTCAGCAGGTTAACCCTCATCTTCTCTCAGCTCTGTAGGTAGAAATTTGTATTGCTGTTGGCGGATCTGAGCCAGTTTTTTCCTTGCCTCTTCCAGCTCTCTTTCCTTCTTCAGCATTTCTTCTTGGGCTGCAATGATCTAGAAAACAGAAGCATGCATTATGACAGCAAGGAATACTGCCTATAAAACAAGATTTCTTTCTCTATGACACCAGTCACAACTGGGCCTTAAGTGTTATCCAGAGAATCATGACATTTAGAATCAGAGAATTGTTTAGGTTGGAAAAGACCTTCAAGATCATTAAGTCCAACCATTAACCCAGCATTGCCAAGTCAACCATGTCCCTAAGCACCACATCCACATGTCTTTTAAATACCTCCAGGGATGGTAACTCACCCCCCCGGTGATGGTACCCCCCCCCCCCCCCGGGCCAGCCTGTTCCAATGCCTGACAACCTTTTTGGTGAAGAAATTTTTCCTAATATCCAATCTAAACCTCCTCTGGCACAATTTAAGGCTATTTCCTCTTGTCCTACAGCTTGTCACTTGGGAGAAGAAACCCGCACCCACCTTGCTACATTCTCCTTTCAGGTAGTTGTAGAGAGCGGTAAGTTCTCCCCTGAGCCTCCTCTTCTCCAGGCTGAACACCCCCAGTTCCCTCAGCTGCTCCTCGCAGGACTTGTGCTCCAGACCCTCCACCAGCTCTGTTGCTCTTCTATGGACACGCTCCAGCACCTCAATGTCTTTTTTGAACTAAGGGACCCAAAACTGAACACAGTTTTCAAGGTGCAGCCTCACCAGTGCTCAGTACAGGGGGATGATCATTTCCATAGTCCTGCTGGCTGCAGGATGCAAGCCTTTCTGATACAAGCCAGGATGCCATTGGCCTTCTCGGGCACCTGGGCCTACTGCCAGCTTACATTCAGCTGGCTGTGAACCAATACCCCCAGGTCCTGTTCTGCTGGACAGCTTTCCAGCCACTGTTGCCCAAGCCTGTAGTGTTGAACGGCGTTGTTTTGACCCAAGTGCAGGACCTGGCATTTGGCATGGCTGAACCTCATACAGGTGGTGTCAGCCCATCAATACAGCCTGTCCAGATCTACCTGAAGAGCCTTCCTACCCTCAAGCAAATCAACGCTCCCACCCAACTTGGTGTTGCCTGAAAACTTACAGAGGGTGCACTCAATCCCTTCATCCAGATCGATGAAGTTATTAAACAGAACTGGCCCCAACACTGAGCCCTGGGGAACACCACTTGTGACTGGCTGCCAACTGGATTTTACTCCATTCACCACAACCCCCAGCCATGTAGCCAGTTTTTTTAACCAGCAAAGAGTATGCCCATCCAAGCCCCGA